ATCTGTAGGTGTATGTTTTTCTTTTACAACAAGCATGTGTATATCTAGCTATAATTCCCTTATCTACTCAACTCTCCAAGTTTCATCAAATTAAACCCATCAAAGCTTTGTATTTGTGTTGAAATCCTTCCAAGAAGGAATGCATCAGTACCAACTCTGCACAACCAAATAAGATATATGTACTGATATCCATATATCAGGCTAGAGAAAGATAATACAAACTGTTTTAATTAGACAGTGTTGTTCCAATAAATCTGCACGAGTTTTCTCTTACCGTAAACAACTCGTAAGTTTACACGGTAAACAAGTGTCTAATATAAGAAATAGGAAGAAGGGAAAAAAAAAAAAATGGCGGTCCCATCAAATCTGTATAAGTTGTGTGTATATATCCACAATTAAAAGAGAAGAAAAGAGCTTCTTTGCTTTGAAGGGAGCTCCACCATTTACTCTTAAGCTTAACATAGGTTCATGACTGTACACAGTTGGCTTCAAGCTCTTATATATTTGTTGCTGCCAATAAGCACAAAAATGGCCTATCAAGATCAACTCATAGACATTTAAGACATGGAAGTACATTACGAGCTTAAAGTCAATATTTACTCGGCATTATTCATTCTTGCAATGCTTCTTCACCGTGCTTCCTGTTTACTCGATACTGAACTGCAGAACTTTGAGTCCGACGAAATTACACGGTACACGGACACACACACACACACACACACACACACACACATATATATATATATATATATAGATAGATTTTCTTTTTTTTTTTTTCCTTTTTCTTTTAGTTACTTGTTTGTGATAATCAGTATTTATGGCAATGATGAGCTGGAAGAAGATCCATTGTCCATGGTGCAGAAAAGTGGGACCCAATTCACGGTAAACGGGCACCCGTTTTACGTGAACGGGTTCAACACGTACTGGCTGATGGTTTTTTCGGTGGATGAGTCGACTCGAGTGAAGGTGAGCGAAGTTTTTCAACAGGCTTCGGCTGTGGGGCTCTCTGTTTGCAGGACTTGGGCTTTCAACGATGGCCAGTGGCGGGCCCTTCAGAAATCCCCTTCCGTTTATGACGAACAAGTTTTTAAGGTAACTTCTCGAGCTCGAGAATAGTCTAGAAGACATTGCATATAATAATCGCTTCTTTGATTTTCTCACAGGGCTTGGATTTTGTCATAAGTGAAGCGAAAAAGTACAAAATACGGCTCATATTGTCCCTAGTCAACAATTGGGAAGCGTACGGCGGGAAAAAACAGTACGTGAAATGGGGGAAAGATGCCGGCCTCAACTTGACCTCCGATGATGACTTCTTTTCTCACCCGACTATTAAGACGTATTATAAGAATCATGTTAATGCAAGTCATCACATTTTCTCTCCCATTTGAAATGTTTTTTGAAAAAAAAAAAAAATGTATTTTGCCACTACTTAACAACTCTCCCTAGTTTTCGTGCAGACTGTGCTAAACAGAGTTAATACTATAACGAACATAACCTACAAGGAAGACCCAGCCATTTTCGCATGGGAACTAATGAACGAGCCGCGGTGTGAATCAGATCCCTCTGGAAATAAGTTGCAGGTTTGCATAAATTTGAAGTCTGGTGCATAATTTGTTTTTGTGATATTTTGTTCTGAGTAGTTGATAAAAATTTGCAGGGTTGGATAGAAGAAATGGCAGTGTATGTAAAAAGCATTGATCCCAAGCATTTGGTGGAGATTGGGCTCGAAGGCTTCTATGGACTTTCGACTCCTAATAAAGTTCAATACAACCCAAATACTTATGCTCAGCAAGTTGGGACTGACTTCATCCGCAACCATCAAGTTCTAGGGGTTGATTTTGCTTCTGTTCACATCTATCCAGATTCTTGGTAAAGTACCTATATGAAAAAAAAAAAAAGCTTCGATCTATATGAGGACAAAGTTTGCAAATTAAACGACTTCTTTTTACAGGATATCTCAATCAATTACGAAAGCGCATGTTGAATTCACAATATCATGGATGCAAGCTCACATTGATGATGCCGAGACGTTCTTGCACATGCCAGTCGTGTTTTCAGAGTTTGGTGTCTCTAGAAACGACCCTGGTTACAATTTGACTTACCGGGACAACCTCATAAGCACAGTGTACAGTACCCTTTTGAACTCTACCAAGAAAGGAGGCGGTGGAGGAGGTAGCTTGTTATGGCAGGTTTTTCCCGAGGGCACAGAGTATATGGATGATGGATATGCCATTGTTCTTTCAAAGTCACCTTCGACATCAAATATCATATCTGTTCAGTCCAATAGGTTGAATATCTTCAATTCCGTTTGTTCTTGGAGATGCCGATGGGCCTGCAAGAAAAGGCATGCATTAGAGAAGTCGGTTTATGGTGATGAGCTTTGACGGAATTGATTATATGCTTTATGTGTTGAGGGGTGTATCAGTAATGTATGTATCATTATGAAAAATGAAGTAAAGTTTTTCTTTTAACAAAGTTTGTAAAGAAAATATGGCAATAAGATCTTGGATTAGCTGGATATCCTACATTTAAATTGGGATTGCACTCTACCATGATTTCCTTGACTAGCTTAACTGAAGGGGAATCAAATGGGTTTGGACTCTTGATGAAATGTTAGCTGAGCCATGAGTTGAGGTCAGTGTGTCCCATTTTGGCCTGTAAAAGAGAGGCTCATCTTCTTCTAAAATGACCTTTGTGATGAAAATTAGTTTGAAAATTCCTCTTTTCTAAAGAAAAGGCACTTCATTTTTTTCCTTTTTGTCGTCTCACAACACTTTCTCAGCAATTCCATCGTCTCCTTCGCAACAAACCCAATTCACGACATGTACGATTGCCTTCCTACCGTCAATCCCCCTCTTCCATTTCCATTACAAACGCATAAACTTCGATTTGTGGATTGCTCCAGATTGCGCAAACCCGCGAAACGTTCAGTTCCCCAATCTAATCTTGAAAGGGCTTCGTTCAGTATAAACTCTGTACCAAATCGGCCCGCGATCGCATTCCCATGGGACGAACGTGAATACGAAGAGTCACCAACTTCTGGGCTCATGGAGAAAGGGTGTGTCGGTGATATTCGGCTCAGCAGAGATCAAAATGGGG